CATGCTGTCAAAGTGGAACAAGTAATAAACAGCAGTTTTGTCGTTTGACTTTAGGCTTCTAATTTCACCTATGATAAAAACATCCCTTTTTTGACAGTGCATATCCTGGAATTAATCTTTCTAACTGCATTTGCATGTCCAGTTCTTTGCTAGACATTTATACCCCCTTGATTCTACTAGCTCAAGACATAGTAATCATTATGACTTTGTTCTGTTTGTACAGATCTGAAGAGGAATGACTACACACCTGACAAGATCATATTTCCTCAGGACGATGCCCCTGAATTGACAATTCAGCCTGGAAGCTGCACCAAAGATTCTGATCCGGCCAATTCTATTCGTCTGATGCTTTGATGATGTGACCAACTCAGTGGATTCGTTCAAACTTCGTGGAACCTCACAAAGTTGTCACTTACCTTTCCCTCACTATAATGAAAAGAAAGACTTGTCAAAACAAGGATTACTGTCTTACAAGTGGAATTTTGGCTGGTCCATAATCTGAGGATTTTATGACTTGTGATAACCATCTACAGAGCAGCGTGGCAGCTGATCGTTCTAAAGGTGGAATAATGACAAGTATTTAAGATGTGTTTTTAAAGGGGCTTTTTAAGCAGAAAGTTTTATTTTTTATTTTATTTTGGTTTAGTGGAGGATTTTCTTCCTGTAGTCCTGTGGTGGGAAATATGCCTTCCACCAAAAGGATTTTGGTAGTTGATGTTTTAAGGTAAAGCATTTGTCTTTTTGGCATTTGTCTTACTGTTGATGAGCAAAACCAGGAGAAAGCACCTACCTCTGTAATGCCAGAGTATTCTTAGAGTGTTTTCGGAAGTGTTCCACTAATATTTCTCACCAGGTGTCTTTTAATCTAGCCTTTTGAAGAGGACAGAGCCAAATGAGGTGTATATAGGATGCCAATAGACTGAAGTTGAAGGTAGGAACTTGATGTGTTCCAAAAGTGAGAGAGAGAGAGAGTCTCCTGAATCAGGATTCTTTCAGCTTCGTGACTGTAAAACTGGGCTTGGTTGCTTTTGTTTTGTGAAATAGAGCCTGAATTGTGCATAATGAAATTTCTTGTTTTACACATTTCAATTTTATCAAGTCACTGTCAAATAGTAACAAAGCCATGATAGACTGGTATAATCATATTTAATAGAAGAATTAGTTTGTGCTGGTCCAAATAAGTTGCCTTGTAAGAACACAAGTTGGAAGTGCTTTCCCTTGTACGTACGTAGTGACTGCTTCAGAAGTTCTGCCTTCCAAAGATCTCCTAAAACCAGTATATTGAAACCGAATGTACACATAACTTGTAAATGTATTTAAAATTGTGTAGAAAACATCTTTAATGTTATGTTATTTGTGGTACTTACTTAAGAGAGACTAGGGTTGGATTAGCATTGTGTAAAGTACGGGAGATTGCAATGCACCTTCATGCCAATAAAATGTAATTTAACTGTCCCAAATATTGTTGAGCATTCAGCAAGAAAAGAACCTGTTGTCCAACTGAAGTTTCATGCTGCGATTTTGTTTTTGTTACATAGGTACTAATTTGTAATTTTTAATTAAAAGGGCAGTATATAGCTCTATAAATTTTTTATTCAGTAGTGTATCTTATAGATACAGACCTAAGGCACGAACACAATAGTTGTTTAAATGGTGTTTTATGTTTGATGGGGAAAGGTAAAATGTTATAAGGATATAATACTGTATACATTTTGTATATCATTAAATCTTTAAAGAATCTAAAATAAATTTATTCTTGTTTACAGACTTCTGCTCTCCGTCTCAGTCTGAAAGGTTATTTTGGTGAATTTAATAACTCTTTATGCAGAAAAGTAGGATTTGCCACGCTGGATCAAAGTAGCTGTTAGCCTTTGAGGTATCACAACTTTGGCCAACACCAGAAACTAGGGAGGTAAAAAAGTGAAAAGTGTCATAGCTGCCAGACACATGTGAGGGGATTAATGAGTAAATGAGTCAAAAATAGCTCTTCACTAATTAGGAGCTGCTTCTTCTGACTGCATCACTTGCTGTTGCTGGGAGGGAATGGGCAGATATTCCAAATGTACTTGCACCTCTCTAATGCCAAGTAACAGCAGCACTGAGTCTGTAAGTGTGACTGGCTCTGCAAATTGTGAGAGATTTCTAGAGGAGCCTGGTGTTTTGAAAATGTGACCAAATTTTAGTGTATGAAAGAAGAAAATAATTTTAAGAAAATTGTAAAAGCTGGGAAACTTTGTTTCTTGACAAATACTTAACTACACACAGTTATTTTTTAGCTGTGTTACTGCTCTTCAGTAGTTCTGCTTGTGACTCATTTCTTAGCAAAATAAACAGATGTGACCACCTTGTGATGGGTGTGAGTGATCATGGGGAGTGTTCCTTCTGCTCAGTCTTGCAGTGACTCAGGCCTGAAGCTTTTTCGAGACCAAAAGGGACAAATGTGGTTGGGAAATGCCTGTAGGATTTGGAGTGGTTACCACTGTTCATATTTCTGTACATCTGCCTGGCATGAGCAGGGGCTTACTCTGTGTGACTTACAGCTTGAATTGCATGAGAAGAGTATGTCTAAACTCTTCTTAAAGGGGGAGAAATGTGTAACTTTCAGAAGTGATCTGCCTCGTACTTGCAGGAAAAAAAAATCACAAATGTCAAGTACCCTTTAGGGAAGGAATTGGAAAAGTGTGGTGGCAAAGGACAAAAACAAGTTGGTTTGAAAAAGAAGCCCGGCTGTTTGGACAGTGCCACATCCTGCTGATGTTGGGCAGTAGGAACGTGAAAACTATTCCATGAAATTCAATTTGTTTGAGAACATCAAGTGTCACTCCTCTGCTGAAACCTCATCAGTCTTGAAATGTTCTATAAATAGGGAGAAGCTGTGATCCTTTAGCTTTTAAATTTCCTTTACATTACCAAAAAGGAGGAAAGTGATGGAACTGGAACTTCTGATGACTATTCAAGAGCTAAAGTACTGGCATATCTTCTTAGACCTAGCTTTTAAATACAGGAATATAACTCAAACCTTCTCTTATTATTTTTTAGTCAAAATCTGAAATGTGTCAGTGAATTTCCTACCAGGAAGGTATTTAAGAATATTTATCATATAGGGAAATTAATAAGCTACATAATTTAGACTTTTAATTAATTCACCAAAGTCACTGTTGACTGCTTTCTTGCAGTATTTAGGTGGTGAAACATTTCAGAAAACCAATCCCAAATTGTGGCAAAATATACAAAACCAGCTCCTGGGGAGCTGGTTTTGTAGCTGCTGCTCAGCAGCCTTGTGATTTGGAAAAGGAGGGGTTTGGTTTTTAAGCCTGACTAACTTCCAACACGTTAAATCTTTGTGGTTGCATCTCACTTAATGCCATAACTTTTAACAGTGTAGGAATTTGGAGAGGGGGAAAAAGACTACAGCTGGAGACTTGGTAGTAACAGTTCATATCAAATATTCCTAAAAGACCAGCTGGGAAAAAAAGTAGGACTTTCTAATATGTAACAAGGCCTCTGAAAAAAGTTCTGATGGTTTAATATTTCTTTTCTGGATTTACACTTTTCCTTGCGATAATCCACTCTGTAGTGAGAGTAATGGGAAGTTAATTCTCAGCCCCAGAGCTTGCAGTTGGTAGCACCCATGTGGATTTGTGTATCATGCTACATTAAAATACTAAGTCCAAGTCTTGATTCAGATTCCACAAAAAATGGGAATAAACATATCCAGTTCAATTTACTAAACTAAACCAGATTTTGAGGGGTCAATAACAGTGACAGCTGTCCCAGGAGTGCCAGACACATCCTTTGCTTGAAGTTTAACAAGTAAGATGATTAGGAAGTTTTTTACTTCACTTCATGGGCCTCTTCTGTGGGTAATTGTTACTTCCCAGGTTGTTAAATAGGGAAAAACTGCTGCTCTTCAGTGGCATGTGGAATTTAGAGATGAACTGTATTAACATAGCTAATTAAAAGCCATCTGCCATACCTTTTTTTTTTCCCTCAGGAAAATCTTCAGAACACCAAGAAACTAATTCAGTATGATGTTTTGAGGTAGCTCCATCCTTTTATGGTCAACACCCTCAGTCATCACTGCCCCTCCAGCAGAGCATGGCAATAACAAATCCTAATCCAAGTGAGCAAACATGGATAAGGGTATGATGGGCCGAAGCTCCCTGCTCAGTGGAACGGCTGGGTGCCCCTCTCTTCCCAAAGTTTTCTGTTCTGGCTGGCACATGGAAGGAGATGGAAGCAGGTCTGGCCAGGTGTGTTCCCTGCCCAGTGTTACCAGGTGACATCACAAGGGGCTGGGGCAGGAGAAGCTGGGGTGACAGGATGGAACACAGGACTGAACACACGGGGCACTGCTCGTCTTTGCTCTACGGGGATTGCTGTGGTTTTAGAGTTCTTTGCCCTGCCTCAGGATAGAACATCAGCCTCTAAAAAAAGAACAGCAACACTGGTGAGAGATGTGGGTGGTGTAGGGTCTGCGTTCAGCATCTCGACTGTCTGACTGGGGATGGGGACAGTTTGGTCCAGGACAGACTTATGCAGCCAGAAAAAAAACCTACTAAAATTTTCCGAACATGAATTAAGTAACATTTTATAGCAGAGATCTGAAGAACAACCTGTTTATAATAGCGTCTGGACTGCAACCTATGGATTTAGAAAATAGGTGAGTACTGTACCCAAGGAAATAAAACTGAATGTAATATGCACTGTTTAGCATTTTGCCCAAAAGACAGCTATTCACAAATGGATGTAGTTTTTGAATAATTGTGTATGGAGCAAAAGACTGGAATGGAATTCTAGGAATAACTCTAAAACTTCAGGTGTTTAATAATACCTCATAATGATGCATCTTACCATGCTGGAAAGAGCATAGTGGAGAAGATGAAGAGTCTTCACCACTATAAACCTGGTGAAAATAAATGTGAATGTAATTTTTAAAGAAGAAACCGTAACATTTTAGATTTCCACTGTTGTGGATTTTTCTCGTAGTAGGTGGAAGGATGGCATGGAAGTGGAGGTACTCCCCCAAGGAAGAGCTGGAGGATATGAGCAGCCTGCACCCAGGGCTCACGGGGCTGCAGAACCTGGAGAACACGTGCTACATGAACGCGGTGCTGCAGTGCCTGTGCAGCCTGACCCCGCTCGCGCAGTATTTCCTCTCGGGAGAGTGGAACACAGCCCTGCACGAGTGAGTCGGTTTGCTCGCAGTACTGAGAGCTTTCTGCTCGGAACTGTTTTCCTGCCAAAGGATATGTGTTGCCATGAGAATGTCCAAGGCACCTGCCAGCTTCCCCAACGCAGTTCCAGCCAGACTGGCCACCAGCTGGGTTTCTTTCTCCTTTGAGAGCCCAGCTTGTTTCCTTGCTGGTCCTTCCTCATGACACTTTTCTTCCCATATTGATGGGAACACCTGTAACTGTTGTCTTGATGATGATTCCTACTACTTTCTGCGATCTGCAGAGTCCCTCAAGCCAAGTGACAGCTGCCAGAGCTGTACTGTACCAGCATCTGTTTTCTGAGTTTCTGTATTGTGCTCCCATTTGAAGGCAGACACTACTTTTTCATACTTTACCTGAAACTCTCCCCTTTTTTCCAAGGGAGGCTGGAGAGTCTGCGACTGCCTTTGGCTGTCTGGTGTCTGACATGTGGCTTGGAGAGTTTGACTATGTTTCTCCTGAGGCTTTTCATTCTGTCTTTGGGAAGCGGTACCCAGCTTTTAGCAGGAGGACTCAGCATGATGCACAAGAATTCCTCATCTGTGTTCTGGATGACCTCCACGAGGCTTTCAAGCAGGTGAGAGCCCAGCTGTGGTATTTTGGGAACTACAGCTGTTTCCTCTGAATTTTGTGACTTAGCATTCCATGTAACAATTGCCTGTCATCCTCTTCTGAACTCCATGATGGGGCCACTAATAACTTTCCCTTTCTACCTTTCAGACCCATTTACACACAATTATTAATTTGCTTCTTGTCTAATGCTCCATCAAATTGCAGCCCTATCTAAATGACCATGCTGGTGCAGCTTCACTGTCCTAACCTCTTCATCTCCTTTCTTCTTCCACAGCTGATGTTCTTCCACTTTCTCTCATCTGCCTGCAAACTTCACATCTGCCATGCCCCCATGACATCTTTCTCCCTTCCAGAGCCACTGAAAAAGAGCTTTTCAAGCAATTAATGCTATCAGATGTCTGAATTGTTGTAGTTTTGTTACTTTTCTCTTAAAAAAGGAATCAATCTTACTCTGCATGTATGACCCATCAAGTAAAGTAACAGCATTTTAGAGCCATGTTCTGTGCAAGACTAACAACTGATCAACCCAGGGAGTGGGCAGCACCCATTAAAACCCAGTGAAGGCACTTCTCAAAACAATTGCTAATCTACATTTTGTCATTTTTTTTTTCCTTCTGTACAGCCAAGCCAAGAAAGACAGAGCCCTACTGCGGGAGCAAGCACAAGGACTAGCAGTGGCACATCTATTATAACACAGTTATTTGAGGGACAGCTCAGTTATGCTATCAGGTGTCTGACATGCAAAGCCCTCACTGACAGACCAGAGAGCTTCACCGTCCTCTCCCTGCCCATCCCTTCCACCAGAGTGTGCTCTCTGCAGGTACAACAGCCAGCACATTCCTGCTGGCTTCTGCTTCATGTGGGAGTAGAGGCTTAGACTAATAGGTTTTATTGGAAAAAGGCAGGGGTTTAGTTACTTTGGTCTCCTGGGCACTAATGGATCTGATCCCCAGAGAAGAGGGGTGTCTTTACTAGTCTCAGAACCGTGGAGGTTGTTAAGGTTACAGGAGCAATGCTCACGAGTTGCCAGGGGATGAAGGATATTAAGATCATTCAATAGCAGCTGTGAAGGCTTCTTCCAGTCATCCAAGTATTTCAGGTTTCTCCCAGTCATCCAAGTATTTCCCACCTTGGTGGGGAGAATGGAAGCCAATGTTGGCTGCTTTGTCTTTTGAATTTGTAATGTCAGCCTTGCTGCATCACTTAGTTAGGAGGAGCAAATTCATCTCTTAGCAAATTCATGCTTAGCACCTTCATGGGTGGAGGGAGATCTGTTCAATGTTTTTCTTCCTTTGACAGGACTGCCTGGAATGCTTTTTTCAGCCAGACACACTGACTCGGAACAACCAAATCCACTGCTACTGGTGTGGAAGCAACCAAGATGCAACAGTAAAGGCCTCCATAATCAAGGCACCACAAATCATCATTTTTCATCTAAAGAGGTATAGTCTAAGTGGGGTAGGACATAGACAGTCCCTGTATGATCCCCGTGAATCAGTTCTTGTGGCAACTGACAGAGCCTGTGGCTTGGGTTCCAAGAGCAGGACTGACACTGTTTTGCTTGTCACTACTGCAGCTGAGACACTCTGGTTTTGTTTATCCCTTTACTAAATCAGGCCTAAACAGAGTGGTGCCATCAGCAAAGGAGCACCTGGGTTAACAGATTGCACTAGCCACACATAGCCAGATGCTGAATTTATTCTAAAGAATTTTTCTTCTTAACAACTTTCCACCTATAAAGAAAACTACTCTGGGATGATCTGGCTTCCCAGAGCTATGTTATTTGAAGTTCTTATTTAATTTTCCATTCAGCATCTGCTTTTCCAACATTCTCAAAGGACATGTGGTCCCCAGCTGCAGCTCTTGGCCACATTGTAAATGTTTAAAACTGCAGTGATGTACTCGAAGTTATAGAGGGAAGAGGGATGGAGTCTGGCATGAGAGAAGAGCTGACACTGGCACTGCAGTCCACTCCAAAATGTTTAGGACACAGAGAGAGTGATGGAAAGATAGGACTTCAGGCTTTGACTGAAGGACCAGGAAGCAAGAGCTCTCCTTTTCTTGCTGGACATGTCATGGGGTTTAGTGCATTTTGTGTCAGTTTACTGCAATACACAACATTAACAGAGATCTTTCTTTCAAATGCTGGGTAGTAAGTTGTTGGTTTTCCCTCCTCCTAGGAAAGTCAGTTAAGCAATGACCACAACACAAACAGAAGCTGAGGGTCATTTAAAATAATTCAAAAATTCATTTCAGGTTTGCCTGGCAAGACAAGAACAGAAGGAAACTCTCAACCACAGTCTGCTATCCGTTCAGCGATCTGGATCTCTCTCCCTACATCTCCACATCGTGTCACAACAATACAGAGTACAGCTTGTGTGCTGTAGTGGTAAGCTTTGCCCTTCCTGCTTTTATTGGGAATGCCCTGCCTTGTGGAGCAGATTAAGCCTGTGTTAGTTTGAGCTTCATACATAATGATTTATAATTTAATGCGTGTTTTGTTGTACGCTTTGTTCTACCAGCCACGGACATAACCCAGTAACAGTACGTAACTGAAGGACAGAGACATTACTTCTCCTTCTTCCCCAACATCCCATTTTTAAAAGAATGCACTCCTGGTACATAATGCCTCTGCAGAGTAAACTCGCAGGCTGATCCAGCATGAATCCAGTTTTTAAAAAAGGACGTGGCTCACAACAAGTGGGGTCCTCTTATAGTGACCTGTATCAGGGCTAATAGTTGGATTGCAAAATAAATAAGCATGATCATCATCCATTTACTGTGTTTGCAAGAATTTATTTGAATTAACATTCCCTGCTCTAGGCCAAAAGGGGCTAGAACCCTCTGTGCCATCTTTTCCAAGTGCATACATAAAACAATTGCCAGTTCCTAGCTTTGCCTGTAAGGAGACAGAACAGGAGTCTGATTTTAACAGACTGTGTTGTTTGTTACAGAACCACGCTGGAGATCTGGATTATGGCCACTACACGGCCTTCTGCAAGCACTCAGTCACCAAACACTGGTACAGCTTTGATGATGCCCAGGTCACCAAGATCCCAGACTCTGCAGTGCAGGCTGACACAGCCTACCTCCTCTTCTACATCTCCCAAGGCTACTGACACCCTGTTAGTCTTGAAAATGAACACTGAGTAGGGCAGCACCTAGAATTCACCAGCAGCATTAACCAGCTCCTGTTTCATTAATAAACTAGAGCATGTGCACCACTGATCAGCTGTTGTGGTCTTTCAGGAAGTGATTCCTAGGAAGGACAGTTACAGCCCCTAAGCCACGAAGGAATGTGCATCTGCTCCATGTGCACAAGGGCCGCAGTTGTTTTCCATGACAACCTTCTTGCACCCCTCAAAACAACAGGGATGTTGAGCACACAGATGCACTTACCTGGAAATTCTTGTTTTTCTGCTGGTTAAGTATAGTAGGTTGTTCTAAGCTGCCTTTCAGGAACTAACAGAAGGATATCAAAGTGAAAGCACACAACCAGATCAGACTGTGCTACAGAAGAGAGGATGGAGTGACCATTGATACAGAAGAAAGAAAAAGGCATTGCTCTACTGATGTAATTTTTGTTTCTCCAGCACTTCAAACTTGTTTGCAGCTTGCAAGCTTCTGGAAAATAATCAATGTTGGTCTCTTGCTAATTCCATCAGCAAGACAGACACACACAGGTAAAAGCTCAGAATGTAAGACTTTTCAATGGCAACCCTATCAGAAAACTAAACCCTAATTCAGAGCAGAGAAATACGTAAGATGCAACTAAAAGAAGTTTTTAAACTAATCAGCTCTATGCAAAACAATATTTTTATCTGGACAATCTTTAAACTGTGTGAGTATGAGTCAGACTGTTATTATGTACAATCTTGATCATTACGTAACAAGCTGAGAATGAAAAACCAAACCCAAACATACATTTAACAGGATATATTTTAAATAATTTCTTCATTAAGGTTTTTAATGCATGTGTACATGAAAATTTAGATTAAAAAATAAAAAAGGAAAATCTTGTTTGTTTAGAATAACTCTGAAGTGCACAAATATTGACAAAAGCTAACAGAAAAAATAATACAGCTCTGCTTTTTTATTAAGTAGTGTTGCAATTACTTAGAGCTGGCAAATAAATGCAATCCTCTGAGTTTTAGAGTCTCACAAAAAGGACAACATTTTATTATATACATAATTCTGATGTGCAAGTATGCAATCAATATGTACACTTACATTCCTAACTGTTTACATCGTTCTAGAGTATTCACAGTAGAGTCAAGCTTAAGGTTAGAAATGTGAAAAGGCCATTAACAGTGAAAGAAAAAAATAAACCAAGATATGCCTTGGGATTTTAAGACATTTTAAACTACTTGTTAATAGATTTCAGATGACTAAGCTAGAATTTAATTTTGGAGCAGACTAAAAATATAGTTCTTTTTTAAATAAACAGTAATGCAAGTATGCTTGTAAATGGTTTCACAGATGGCAGTATGACCACAAGCGTTGCCCATCAGTCTCTGATTGTTAAGCACTGCTACGGCCCGAGCGAGCCCTGCTGGCAGACACCCCACCCCGCTCCTCCCACTCCCCAGTCACTATGTCTGCTGTACTTCTGCATATTTATATGCATTCCCAGGCCTACTTTGCTCTTGAAGAAAGAAAACCAGTTTCCTTAAGCCACATTCCTTTACGTGGCCATATCTAGTGCTCGCTGTTCATAGGAAGTATAAAAGAGAATGTAAGCAGCTGAGGACTTCACCGAGGACGCCGAGATCTCGGACACTTCATGGTCATCAAACTTAAACCAGCGCTGTTTTGAAGCATTTTTGCAGTAGGCTGTGTAGTGCCCCCCGTCCAGCCCACCGTAATGATTCTGTGAATGTAAGGCAAGGGTTAGTGGCCTTCAAAGCTGCCATTTCTTCCCTGGTGAGGGAAATATAGAACATGAAATTTTTACTAAATCCCGATTGTTCTTTTTTAGAATACAACTTTGTCTGCAGCTACAACGCAGCCTGGCTGAATCCCACAGGCCACCCTGAGTCCTGGCATAAAGTGCAGCTGGATTTTGAAATGTGACATGGTTACTCACCGATACTGAGAACAGATTGTATCTCTTCAAGGAAGTCTTTGGACCAATAACATACTGAGAGAGGTCAAGAGTTTCCAGTGGAAAATCTACTGAAGTTTGAAGCTTTTGTTTCCATCTTCCATCATAGGAAAATCTAGAGAATTAAAAAGCATCATGAAAAATTACAGGCTGTTCACAAGCTATTCCACTGTACTAAGCATGTTAGTTTTCCCTGTTTTTAACCAGGATGTGATCTCAACTAAAGCCCCCCGTTCTGTTAACGTTTGCTCATGTGTTCCTTAGCAAAAATAACAAGAGGGCACTTGTCAAAGTGCCTTGGGAATTACAGCATTACAAAAGAAGCATCAGATGAAAATCAAATTCTTGCAACATGACAATTGGTAATGTATCTGTGACCCTCTCTAAGTAAAAATGCTCAGCTACTGGCATGGAACAATCCAGTTCCATCAAAGCCTGGTCATTTCACCCTAATTCATATCCACCAATCACCATTTCCTTACCGTTTCAAGTGCACAAGAAGCACAGGTGGTAATTTCCAAATTTCTATTTTTTTCAAAGAGTCCCTTCGAGTTTTGCAATGGCTACAGTAAAATCTATTGTTATCAGTGAGCTTTTCTTCTTTGGAGAACAATCTAAGGCATTCCTAAAACAAGATACAGAGATTGTGAATGATAGGCATTTATGCAAGTATAACAAAAATGTTTGTTTCCCATTTGGTTGTTAACCTGCATCACTTATCTGCATCCTACATTTCACTGAGGAAAAGTGACTTAAATCTATGTGTGGAAGCAAGTTTTACTGCAGATATTAATTAGCATCCTTCAAAATATACAGAAAATATTTTGTTTAAAAACACAGAATATTTACATTGTGACCTACCAAAGCAAGTAATATACATGCTGCTATTGCAGCTTCAGTATTTCTATCCTGCTTCTAATTTAAAACTTTTAAGGGATAACCTATTTCTTTAAACTTTAGAAGAATTAAAAAAAAATACAGATTCAGATCTGTTCATGCTTCAGGTCAATGCAAATTAAGCAAAATGCTGACCAATCCCCTCAAGCAGAGGGTGAGCAGAAGCAGCATCACAGTGAAGTGCCAGAGGAATGTTTCTCTCCAGCTCCCCATACCTGCAGAGTGCATTTGCTGGAGGATGCGAGTGGTAGTGACAGATACATGAAAGCCTCGAAGGTTCGGGACCTCTTGTGACACGTCAGACACTGCACGGTGGATTTGAACTGGCCTTGGAACAGTGCCACAATGATGGACTCGTTGAGCTGCTTGTGCTTGTGCCAGGCTATTTCTGCTGCACTTGAGTCATCCAGGTGATCGTTATTTTCTTCCTTGTATCTTTTCCTGTTGTCAGCCTGGATAGCAGAAGTTTAAATACCACAGCAATGTATTAACATATATGTAAGTAAGAAGTCTTACCTATAGGCAAGCATATGATTGAATATTCACAAGAATATTTAAACATGGCAGTGCAGCCAGCCAGTTCTTGTCTGGTGAGGCTTCTTCTGTGACTCCCTCTACTACCTTATACTGTTTCACACTGACTTCCTACTTTAATTCTGAATAATCGTATTTCTTTCTGTACAAGGCTGCAGTAACAATCTTATGGAATAAGAAAGTATTAAAAAAATTATCTTGATCTTCTGATAGATATATAATTTAAGTGTATTGCTTACTTTATTTAGGTCCTCATGCAAGCCATCCATTAGAAAGAGAAGCAATTCTTGGGAGTCCTGTTGGCTATATCCTGCAAATTGGTCATTAATCTTCCCAATTGTAATTTTGAAGTCTTTTGGACTGATATATTTATACTGTCCTGCCCATAAAGCTTTCATTATTACACCAAACTCTTCAGCCACTTCACCTTTATGCCCCAGGAAATTTGACCTATAAAGTACGAAACAAAAAAAAAATGAGCCATTCAAATAACTGTGTTTTAATATTAATCTTTTTAATTCAAAACATGATCCCAATTTTAAAATAATTTCTTTAAACGAAGGAAAACTGGCTCTTAGACTGAGTTAAATTTTCATCTATGTCAGCCCTGTAATTTGGTACCACATTCCAGATGGAAGGTACAGCTGTTTTCAACATGTTTTGTGAACGATTTAACTATTTGGTTTGGTTTTAAGAGACTCCAGTACACATGTATTTTATACATGTTGTGACCATAATTTAATTATCACAGTCCAGTAAAATCTATTTAGTGACACACATGAATTTTGAAAATGTCAAGGTGCCTAAAAGTTACCATTTGCCTCCTACTTAAAAAAACAAACAGCCCCACTGAGTGATCTTGAATTGGCACGTATAAAGGCAGATGAGAGATTGTTACCTGTTAATATCAGCTTGATACAAGTTTCTGTTGAAGTACTCAGCCAGGTGAGGTGCATTGCACAGACACTGTAATATGGAATTCATGTAGCAAGTGTTCCCTAGATTACGAAGGCCTGTCAGAGCTGGTCCCGATCCCCCAAACACAGGATTAAGATTTCGAATCTGCGATGCAGAGAGCCTGGAAATTTCTGCTTTAGTGTAACAGGCAGGTCTATAAGCAAGAAATTATTTTTAGGAGTCTTAGATTTGACAAAGTTGTTCACATAAATCAACAGACACCACACCTCACCCCGCTATCCACAGGGATTGGACCATCCTGGCACCAAATACCATCATTTACGGTATTCAAAACCAGCCAATGCAACAGTGAGAAATCCATATACGCTGGCCTGTAATGAGGCTGAGTTTTAGGCACCATCAGTTGTGAGATTTATATTTTTTTTTCCCTTTATTTCTTCAATTCACAGATGAAGAATTAGCTGTTTAATACAATTTAAAATCTGAAAACTTGCACTTCACAAACTGTCAGAAGATAGTCTTTTAGTATGTTAATACAAATAACAGAACTTAAAAAAGAAACTATCATCCAATTAATAGACTGTGACCTCTGAAACTCCTGCTAATACATAACTATTATATTGATTTCACAAAGAGAACTGCTCTATACATTGAACTTCTACCAATGAAATTTTACCCTATTACTCTTGCATCCTTTCAAACCCACTTAGTAATGAATTTCAGTTGGTTAAACACAAAGAAAGTCCTCTGTGCTGTCATACTGCCTGAGTTGTGATCTAACTTATCAAACAAACATACTTATTGTCACGATTGACTGCAGGAGTCACAGGAATTCTTTTCTTGTCTTCCTCCTGAATGGCTTGGGTTATATCTGGGGACGAGTAGGAGCGCTTGAGCTTGGAGTGCTCTCTCTCCCGCTCAGCCGTCGCCTTGGGCTTGGCCTTCCGAGTGGGAGGGGTTGATGGAGGAGTGGCTGGAGGAGCCATTTCTGGTGGGTACATCTGAACAGTGTTTGTTGGTGAGTGATAGTAACGATAGGTTCCAGTGATGTCATCCAGGAACTGGGGGAAAAAAAACCCAATAGTTTCAAACCCAAGTGAAAATCCATCATTAACTTACCTATTAATAAATTACTGTAAGAACAGCATGAGTTTTTCAGACATTGGGATATTAAGTTGTGACTGGCCTCAACATTCAATGGATTAAATTTAGTAGAAGGGGAACTTTCACCAAAATGCCTATTAAACAGCAAAAACCAGGAGCAGCAGATAAACTGTCCTAGTTTCATTACAAATAATATTAAAATTCACAAAGTAACTGTGTGGAAG